TTTACATCATTAGAAATAAGAACTGTAAAATATTTTCTAACAGTGTCACGAATATGGAGCTATAATTCTTTGTATCATTTGTAGTTGTTACCTCCCATGCGCCATCTTGCAATCCTCACATTCCACCCTTGTCAGCGTTTAAAAGCATCTACCCGGTCTGATGGATACACTTTCTCACAGGATGGTACTCTACAGTTATTTTAATGACGGATGTTTGGGTGAATTACTGTCCTTCGTTACACCAGTCTAGACCTTCACAGACATGATCTGCCAGACAACGTATACGGAATCGAATAATTATTATTTTAATATTCAACTGGTGAAGAAGACCTTCCGCCTTAGACATGACTACTGCACTGTGGGAGAGATTCTCGGGAGGATACATTCCCGTTTACTACAACCTTAACCTCGTCAAATTTAGAGTAAAACTGTGTCTATCTTACATATGCTCATAATATGCAACTCTTCCACTTACTATGTTCACACGAATCATAACCCTATTCATTACGGTCTGCCTTGAGTAGTTATTGGGACGTGGATTGGGTGTACAACAGTAATATAAAATATGAAATAGTCACGACATACAGGCTGTCGGACGCATGAGAACGCCCACGCACACGGGCGCGAATACGCACGAACGCGCACACAGTATAAAAAGAAAAAAAATCAACCCGGCACATATATAAAAGTGCATATATAAAAGGAAAAATATGATCAATCAATTGCTGATACCCATTGACGAGTGGTCAGTGTATTTGCTGGACGATCCGACTGCAAAATGGGATACTTATTGTAGCAACAATCAGCCAATTGATAAAGTTTATATTTTTATTAATGATATACATATATTATATATATAGTTATTTTCTAAGCATAGCTTAGGTGTGGCACAAGGCCGAAAGTATGGGGCACCTAGTGAGGATCGAACTCACTTTTCAGTTGTGATTGATCTAGCGAGACAAGCTTACTAACCATTACACCACGCCGAGGTGCCCAATATATATATATATATATATATATATATATATATATATATATATATATATTTATATATTTTATATATATATATATATATATATATATATATATATATATATATAAAGTTTATATTTTATTAATGATATATATATATATATATATATATATATATATATTTATTTTAATAATTATATATATATATACATATATATATATATACACACACACACAAGTCTCTTTATAAAAAAAATGAGAATTAAAATTAAAATAAAATTCAAAACTAAAATTTAAAATTCAAAGGAAATTAGGCTTTTTACATTAAAAATTATTTATTTCGACTATTACTAAAATAATAGTCGAAATCGCTCGGACATATAGGACTTTCGGACAATTTCTACATAATTTCTGTCCAAGAAAGTTGAAAAATATAAGAATAAAAGAAAAGTAAAATAAAATACTTAACCACACAAACTTGTCAAGGAACTTCTAACAAAACACAATCATAATATATATATATATATATATATATATATATATATATATATATATATATGTGTGTGTGTGTGTGTGTATATATATATATATATATATATATATATATATATATATATATATATATATATATATAGAGAGAGAGAGAGAGAGAGAGAGAAAAAAAGAGATCAAACATTTTTAATTAAACTTAGATAAAAAAGGGACTTCGAACAAAATACACAATCATATATTTCAGAATCTACCGACCTGTGAACCCTTAAAACACATGAGGATGGTTACTTAGGAAAATTATTAAGATTCCGGTCCGAGTAACGAACAGAATGATAGGAGAGTCCCATGACATTTATACTAAGCTGTTTGATTAATTCCTTTTAGTAACTAATCAACTAAGGAAAACATTCAGGTCACCATCATATTAAGCACGTTTCAGTTTATATATTTACGAGGTGTTTCATTCATTGCGATGCATTCACTATCAGTACGGCAATTTTTCATTAAAAGACCAGCATCGTTTATATATATATATATATATATATATATATATATATATATATATATATATAAAAATTATTGAAAAAAATTATTATTATTAAAAATCTCAATATGTGCAATTGCGTGTAATATATATATATATATATATATATATATATATATATATATATATATATATATATATATATATATATATATATTATACGCAGTTGCACATACTGCGATTTTTAACTCATTGGGGGGTTTATTCCCAGTAGATGCCCAGTGTGTGAGGTATTTTGGTGTATTAAGAAGTGAATGTTAACAGATAAATTCTTCTGCTGAATTAGTATATTGTAACGAGGAATTGGTCGTGAATCACTTTAGTTAGTGTAAGATAGTTAGTGTTGACCAACCTTGACAATCTCCCGTCAATTTTCAGCCTTGTGCCACAATTACTGTATCAGTAATAAATCTTAGAAAAGCAACGTTTTTTTTTCCTTTTCAGACTTAAATCATATCTTTTAATATAACCAGCTTGAATGTGAAAGGTCTG